AAATTGATCTACATTTATTACTATTTATGGAAATTGTTGACTCAGGATAGCCAATCATTTTAACTGTCTCTGCTGAACACTATAGGTGCATTTGTTTTTTTAAAAATAAAATTACGGTTCATATTCAGCTCAATTAGCTTTCTCCAAATTGCACGTACTTAAATTGTAAATACGGCATTGATATTAAAATACGTCGTACGGTACAGTACATCTTTATATTCTAGTACGTACCAAAGCATGGCATGCAAGCCATAATTTACACACCGAATGACATTGTTAAGTAGATGCATTAATAAACGAATCCACTTTATTTTCCTCTACCAAATAAATATCATTTTTTGTTTTTAAAAGCTTTTATATATATACGATACTTTTGTCAAACGTTTCATAAGACAATATCACGTGTCTGATCATCGTTCCCACGGATCTTAATACAGTATAAATTGAGCAGTCCATCTGGTTGGTGCTTTATTCTGCATAAGAAATGCCGGTTTGATGGGTTGATTTTTGCATGTTAAAGACTATATTTGCCTTTGGGTTGTTCGTTTTGAATTATTCGCAAAAGAATTCTTTCTTAGGGGATATGGCCAAGCTTAAGCAGTTCGTTTAGGTGTTTCGGCACATATAACCATTCGATTTTTTAACAGTGATGTTTTATGAAGATTAAATTAAATGGTATGGTCGGTTGATTACGTTATTTGCCATTTTTGTACGACCTTCAAATTAAAGGGATATTTAATTTATAAAGTGCACATATTATTTGACCATAAACCATAATTGCATAATTACATATATTACAGATTAACGGTGATACATAATTTAGGTAAGAGAATTTTTACAATTTTGGTAAGCTTGATTTAAAATATTTAAGTCATTTCTATTTTTTTTGTGAAATTTATTCTCGTATCATCAAACTACACAAAATACAAAAATGTCGGAACTTAATCTTTCTAACCCTCCAAAAATCATTGCTTCTGATGGAATCGCTCAAATTGAAGTTTTTTCTGCAAATGAATCAAATACCAAAGGAATTCAATATTGCAAGGTAGATATTATATATATATAATCATTTGTTCTTATTTCAACTTTAAAATTATATATATGCCTTTAAATATTGAGATTTTATCAAAAAGGGCTTTATTAATGGCAACGAAACTTCAAAAACTGTCGATTTAATTGTCAAAGGGGGCTTACCTACGTGGTTAAAAGGTGAATTCTTTACTGTGGGTCCAAGTACTTATGATATAAAATATACAAAAATGATCGGTACTGAAGAAGGTTACGAAAGTGGTACTGCAACGTTTTCCATGGGCCATTGGTTTGATGGGTAATTTTAATAACCTTGTATTTACCTTGTATTTACCTTGTATTTACCTTGTATTTACCTTGTATTTTGGATTAAACTAATATATAAATAATATATATTTTAAAAATCAAAACTTATTTTATTTTTTTTGTGCATTACAGTTTGCCTCTGGTTAATCGGTTTTCTATAGATGGCATAAATAATAAAATAAATTATAGATCAAGACAAACAAGTAAAAAACATGAAACAAAAATACGTGATCATCATGGGATCGTAACAAAACACCCGTTTTCTCTCTTCAAGACACATCCAAAGTACGTTCCTTGAAAATTATCTTTAATTTTAAAGCTTGCTTGTTTAAAAATTTAAAAGCTTGGTTTTATAACTATGGATCTTTTTTTTCTGCACATATAGCCAAACTCCGTTGGCTAAACTTATCGGAACAAAACGTCCAACAAAACCAGAGCTTGAACCTTGTTCAGCTAATATCAGTACTAACTATCCTTTCAACAAACCGGGTGAAAAACCTAAAATCTATTGTCAAAATCACGCAAGTCAAGTACGTTCATTCAATATTTATTTTAAATCTTTTATTTAATTTATTTATTTAAATTTCTTGGAAATTTTCGAATCTTATAGGTCGTAGAGCTTGACGCGTATGATCTTACCCCTACACGTGTGTTTTCATGGGATGAATTGGATCCAATGGTTAAGGGTGATCATGCATCTCCCCATTCTCATTTCGATGAGGCTACTGGAGAATTGATCAACTTTAATATGGAGTATCATACTATGGGTACTACGTACACCTTTTTTTCTGTATCACAGAATAATCAAACTCCTCAATTGATCGGTTCTGTAACTGCAAAAATGTCTTATGTACATAGCTTTGGTGTCACTCCACGATTCATAATTCTGGTATATAATATTTTTGTATTGAACATAATTTATTCGATTTGTATTTTAATTATTAAATTTAAAGTATATTCATTTACAAAACGTAGGTTCTATTTCCATATTATGCAAAAAGCTCTGGAATCAATTTTACATGGTCTGACAATATCGTAGATTCTTTTGAATTTAAACCGAACGAACCTACTTTATTTTATGTAATTTCTAGAGAAAAAAAGCAGCATGTCGCTACTTATAAATCGGATCCTTGTTTTGCGTAAGAATTTATTTCTTGTCGTGGCTGATGCTTAAATTGGATCTCTATTTGTAAATATAAACCATACTAAAAATCTACTTATGCTCTTTATTAACGAAAAAACTAAGAAACATTAGAATAGGTCCAAATTTCAGCATCAGCAAATTTTAGTATCAACCCTAACATTTATTAATGCTAAATTCATGATTGCTTTTTTAATCATAAGGTTCCATCACATAAACGCATTTGAAGATGATAATGATAATTTATATTTAGATATTTCATGCTACGAGAATTCTGATATCTTCAATGACCTTGAACTCGAAAATCTTCGAAAAGGTTTATCAAGGAGACTTCAAATGGCTGAAGTTCGTAGATATGTATTACAAAATATTAAACAAGAATCATTAAAGTTTTCAAAGCTTCCACAAGCAACTCGAATGGGAAGCTTGCAAATGGTGACATCA